ATCAGCAGAAGGTACTTTACTTCTCATCTGGCTAAGTGGTTATATGTCCGTATGAATGAACAGAGGAAATAGAAGAAGAAAAGTCTCACAGAAATCAACATTCAGATCAATAGTGGCATTTGCCATCTGTTGGGTTCCTGCTTATTCAACAGGATATACACTTGGCTTCTAGAGATTTTATATGTTCATGGGAAGAATATTAGAAAATGAAAACAATGACAACAACAAAACCTTAACTGGAAGAATTACTTAACTGGGATACCAAGTTTTATAATCCTTCCATTATCTGTTCTTGTGAAGAGCCAGAAAAAATACTGTCACCAAGTACCAAGTGAAGAGAATAACAGCCTTTGTGTCAAAACAGTAAACACGCGATTGTCTCGTTTTGGTCTGGGATTTTTGTTGTTGTTGCTGTTCTATTTAAGTGAAAGTAAAATATAAAGTCTAGGCAATAAAAAAAATGAGGAGAACATCTGAGGAATACTGTTCTGGGTGGTTTTTGTCTCACTGTGATACACATAATTTTAACAGCCACTACTGCAGCCAGGGCTGCAAGACAAAATAATTCTGATCCCTGAAACCGACTTTGAAAGCATCTAAAGGAAAAAAGCACACAGAACTTTTTCTAGCTTATTGTTTTTGTTTAGCAATATAAACCAAAACGAGAAGCGAGATCTTGTAACAATGCCAGGCACAGAGTATTCACTTTATAACCATTTGGTTCCTTTCTTTCTTATTTCTGTTGAACAATTAGGCAAAACTATTTTCCCCAAAAGAGATGCAACCGTGTTCACAATTACCTTTTTTACCTTGTTTCTTTTTTTTTAGACTTAGTCTCGCTCTGTCACCCAGGTTGGAGTGCAGTGGTGGGAGCTCTGTCACCCAGGTTGGAGTGCAGTGGTGGGATCTCGACTCACCGCAACCTTCACCACCCAGGCTCATGCAATTCTCATGCCTCAGCCTCCTGAGTAGCTGGGATTACAGGCGCTCGCCAGCACACCTGGCTAATTTTTGTACTTTTGGTAGAGATGAGGTTTCACCATATTGGCCAGGCTGATCTCAAACTCCTGACCTCAGGCTATCCGCCTGCCTCAGCCTCCCAAAGTGCTGGGATTACAGGTGTGAGCCACTGTGCCTGGCCCACAAACACCATTTCAAGGTCCAGGATAAGTAAACCTTTCTGATATGGTTTGTATATTTGTCCCTTCCAAATCTCATTTGGAAATGTAATCCCAGTGTTGGAGGTGGGGCCTGGTGGAGGTGTCTGAATTGTGAGGGCGGATCCCTCATGAATGGCTTAGTGCCATCCCCTTGGTGATGAGTGAGTTCAGGAGAGATCTGGTTGTTTGAAAATGTGCAGCACTGTGCCCCTTGCTTTCTCTTGTTCCTGCTCTCATCGTGTGACATGCCTGCTCCTGCTTTGCCTCCTGCCATGGTTGAAACCTTCCTGAGTTCACACCAGAGGCCAAGCAGATGCTGGAACCATGCTTCCTGTATGGCCTACAGAACCGTGAGTTAAATCAACCTCTTCTCTTTATAAATGACGCAGTCTCGGTATTTCTTTATAGGAAGGCAAAAATGGCCTAGTACACTTTCCAAACTTTCAGAGGTAGATTTTTGTTTCCAAAACTAGTGGCAGTGCCAACAAGTTACTTGGGGAGCTTTAGATCCCAGTAATCTCCATCAATCCCCAGAACTCCATCAAAATAAGTGAATCTTGAAATAAAGGCAGTGTTCTTAGTATGCAACTCTAGCTTCAAGACAAGTCTTTTTCCAGCCAGACTGAAACCCCACGATTACCCTCATATGGATACCCAGGGGCTGCCGCTGTTCAAAATCACTACATAATTCAAGTGCCATTTGTCTTTCCTTTTGCTAGAAAGAGCAACGTCAAGTCTAAAGGATCAACCTTGTGAGCCTGGCAAAGCCTGCATTTGAATACCAGCTGGGTTTGAATACTCATTAATGGGAAACCTTGGAAAATACTAAAACCTAAATCTGAAATTGCCCTCATGTAAAAGAATCATTGAAATTGCCTAGAAAACATGGGGACACAAATCTCTCGAGACTGCTGTGAGGACCAAACAAGACAGCATCTACACAGCACGTGGCAGATCTCAGCCCTGGGTGCGCACCCACCAAACCGTCCCCTGGGCCATCCTTCTGCCGTCTTTTTACTGATTCAAAACTACTGACACTTCGTGGTCTCCCTCTGTTAAGGTAGGAAGTGGAAAAATAGACTGAATAACAAAATTACGGCTACAGTAACCCCTGGGATTGTATTTGCAGGAGTGTTAATATATCCCCAATCAAAGAGATTTTTTATAAATGATTAAGAAAATTCAGCACTCTACGAGAAAGATCACGGAGTTCTCACAATCTGTGTTTAAGGAAGTTCAGCACCCCACAGGAGAGATCACAGAGTTCTCGGAATCTGCGTTCTCCTCTTTCTTTTTTAAAAAAATTTAAAAATCTTTACATCCTTAGGGGGTACTGGTGCAGATTTTGTGCATTTCGTCGTGGTAAAGTGTGGGCTTTTAGCCGAATAGTGATGCGTTGTTCCCTTTCAATATCCATCGAGTCCTAGTTCTGGGCAGAGAGTATACGCCTCTGCTTCTATTCAGTTCTCCTTTCTTGACACTACACCCCAGCTAAAGAGTCGCAATTATGTTGCCTACCCCAAGTTGCTATGACATCATCATTGCCAAAACAGCAGGTGACTCTGCAGGAGTCAGAATATCCTCTTAGAGATATAATAAGACTTCTGCTCCTGACACATCGACCATTGCCTGGTAAGGGACCTGGCTGCGGCAGCCTGCGAACACCATAGCTGCATAATAGCTAATGCCACGGAGCGGGGTTCAAGAAATTGCTGTCTTTTTCCAATATACTGAATTCCCACAGCCTAGGCTTCAGATCTTCTGAAGATTTCTCTCAATGTGAGGGAACAAAATGATGCCTTGATACTATTTGCAGGACTAGGTAGTATCTGCTTCAGGAAGCTGAGTTCTTTTTCTTAAATAATGAGTATTTCAGGGACTGTGGTGCAGTAAAAAGGATGCTGCCTGGTTCTTAAAAATCATAAGCCTGTCAGCTCAGAGAAAGTAGGAACTGAAACTTCAGGTTGAGAGAGAATGTACCAGCAGACAATGAGCAGACCATACGTGACAACAGAACTCTGATGCAACCTCTCCAGCAGCCAGTTCAGGAAGCTACAACACAGCCTTGGCAGTAGTGAGCCCGGAAAGGTCAGGACTTCCTTAGTAACTGAGAGCTTCTCTATTTCTTTGTCTTCATATCTCTCTCAGGACCAACCATTAAAAGCCAAAGATGTTCCTCAAACTAGTAACATAAGATGCTGTTTCTTGCCGGGTGCAGTGGCTCACGCCTTTAATCCAAGCACTTTAGGAGGGCGAGGCAGGTGGATCACTTGAGGTCAGGAGTTCAAGACCAGCCTGGCCAACATGGTGAAACCCTGTCTGTACTAAAAATACAAAAATTAGCCGGGTGTGGTGGTGCACACCTGTAATCCCAGCTACTCAGGAGGCTAAGGTAGGAGAATGGCTTGAATCCAGGAGGCAGAGGTTGCAGTAAGCCGAGATCATGCCACTGCACTCCAGCCTGGGCAATAGAGCGAAACTCAGTCTCAAAACAAACAAACAAACATGCTGTTTCTAATTAGCTCACCTCCAGGTTTGCCATGCCAACAACCTCCAATCAGAGTGCATCTGAACCTTCTATTTTTCACTAAAAGCCTTCCCACTCCCCAACCTGCCTTTACATCTCTGCTGAAAACAAGTGATGGCAGCCGAAGCCGTGCCTGAGCAAACTGGATAAATCACCTCTGCTTGTTCTCAGTTGGGTGGTCTTCGCTTTTTACCAGTTTACTTGCTTGTTTCTGTTGGACCTAGTTTACAAACAAGGTCGTATTTTGTGATTTGCAGTGCTAAGGACTACAGAAACTTGAGAAACGTAACACCACCTTTGAGGCCTTCGAGCAACCTTCAAATGTGCCTAAAATGCACCCTCTGCACATGTCTGTACTTCCCAAACTGTTCTCTGACCATTCTCCTCCCTCCACTTCATAGCTGCAACCGTAATAAAGAATAACTCAGTCAGAGAGACCAGTCATTCCAGTTTGTCCAGAACTGTTCCGTATTTAACACTGGAAGCCGTCCTACGTTCCAGAAAACCTCTTGGCCATGAGCAAACTGGAACCAGCGGTCACCCTATGAGACAGTCCTGGAGATGTCATTCTACACCTCAGCCGCTGCAGAGGAAATTGACTCTGCCTAGCATGCCCCTCCCTCTTCCCATCAACAGGTCATCAATTAGGTGAACTCCTCTCAATCTGTCAGGCCCCACCTAAATGCCCAGTTCTAGGCTGAGCCTCTTTGGCAGCACCCCAACTCTCAATCCCAAGCAGTTTCCTCACACTCTCCTTCATGCCACACTACAGCCTGCATACTTTCATTGTACATATCACATGGCACTGGGATGATTTGCCTATGGCACTTAGATGCTCTTACACAGGGCCAAGAGAGGTGGCCTGTAATCCCAGAGCTTTGGGAGGCCTTTGTGGGTGGATCACCTAAGGTCAGGAGTTCCAGACCAGCCTGGCCAACGTGGTGAAATGCCATCTCTACTAAAAATACAAAAAATAGCCGAGCGTGGTGGCATGTGCCTGTAGTCCCAGCTACTTAGGAGGCTGAGGCAGAAGAACTGCTTGAACCCAGGAAGCAGAGGTTGCAGTGAGCTGAGATCATGCCACTGCACTCCAGCCTGTGTGACAGAGTGAGACTTTGTCTCAAAAATAAATAAATAAATAAAGATGCTCTTACACAATGAATTCCTTGAGAGCAGGCACAGTATTGTTGCCGTACTGCTCACTGTCATCAAGTTCTAGATTGAGATGAAGGGACAACTTATGTAATAAAAGTTGGGCACCTACATGAAATATATTCACCAATCCATTTCAGTTACCGAGACTATTTATCTACCTCAATCTGGGTGGTGTTGTCCTGCCCATCGTCCAGCAGCAGGTCTGTGAAGCTTCTGGGCTCAGGAGAGTCTTGGCTGACGCTTGCTCGGTTTGTGTCTACCGCCTTGAGAAAGTCCAAGTTTCTTTTCCACCTGTGGCTGTATGCATGGGAATCGATTTCCACCTCCTCCTCTGTGTGAGGGAAGGCCTGAGCAACTCCATACTGCCAATCTGTTTGAAAAAGAAAGAAAATGTGTTACCACTCATTATGTGTACCATACATGCACGTGCTGTCGGCTCGAGAAGAAAAAATAATTCTGTGAGGCATGAGAATAGGAAACTAACTTATAAGGGTTAAATCTGTTTACTTGTGACATCTTGAGCTGGTACGAACATCTCTGATTGGAATGCAATTGCAGGAAACACCAGGAGTTGTGACAGTGGTTAATGGACAGATCTTGCAGTTTTTAAAAACAGATGTGCTGCCCTGAAGCAATGCATTTTTATTCTCTTCCCTTGCCCCCTCCACATGCACACTTCATAAACATTCTCTAGCTGTTCTGAAAAAACAAGCTAGAATCCAAAGGGATGAAACCAAGTGACTGTCAGATTATTTTGAAAATAAAAATCAGACCTCATTAACTTGTAAGCTTATATTTATTTCACTTGCATTACGCTGGACAGCAAAGAGACACCAATGCATATGAACGGGTTAAATAATACATGAAATTGTCTTCACGTAAATGGCCGAAACTCCCTTGTAGCTTACAAGCCAGTCTTGGTTCATTGCCTGACCCATTTAATAAGTAAGACCCTCAGGAGTCATCACTGCACTTTTGTTCATTTGCGCCGTTCTCACCTTGAAATCTTGTCAGGGTCTAAAGGATGACAGTGATGGGCACTTATAGAAATGGATGGGAAGGCAAGGAGATCAAATCACAAAGGCATTTTAAAGCTGTCTGCAGGGACTGGCCTTGCTGACCCAGCTTATCCTGCTACTCCAGGAGGAAAAAATGAGATTTAATCATTACTCTCCGTCTTTCATTTTGGTAGGTCAGCAGGGGAAGGCGTGCCACAAGTATTGGAAATTCAGTTTCTGAACAAGAACAGCCTTCTTCTCCCCAACTATTACTAAAAGATATGAATGGACGGGTTTTACAACTGGCAAGATATGGGTTCAAAAAGGGAGAAGAAATTTAATTATAGCCATTAAGCTCCCCTTGGTATAATAATGTTCTAAGAAACCAAAATGTATTTAATATAGCTTATAATACAACGATTCAGCTACTTAGGACTCTAATAACTAACTTAAGGTTACCACTACCAATCACAGGCATAATTACCTAAACTGTCTCCTTTTCAACTCAGAAAGGTGCTACTAATTCTTCTAGACAGAGAGGAAATTATTTGGTTTCACAGTAAACTTAAAAGATCTCTTATTGTCTGACATTTAGGTGCATAGAACCCAGAGAGAAACACTACCATGATGTCTGCCATCTAGACCTTTCCTTGAACTCATAGAATGTTAGAGCTCAAAAGGACCACAGAGACCAAAGTAGCCAAAACTCCACAGGGAGAAACCCAAGAGCAAGAGAAATGTAGCACTGTGTTCATTTTATTGAATTGCTGTAGGCTTAAAAAAAAAAAAAAAATCATGTACATAAAGGGCTGAGTGTGGACACCCTCCTGCCCACCACACAATGTTTAATAAGCACATTTAAGCAATATTGTCATCATCACTGTAGAAAATATCTCTTTTTGTAATACTGTTGTCCCTACTAGCCATTGGATAGTACTCAAAATGTGTTTATTGACTGACTGAATGAGTGGATGAATGAATTGTTGACAGTCTTTCTGGAACAAGCATCATCAGACCAGGCAAAATTAAGTAATGAAAAAACTACTGTGCAACGAAGAATCCAGGACTCTTGGGCTGGAATTCTTTCCAGTAGATTTGCTGGTTGTATGATCCGGCATAATTCTAAAAAGTCTCAGTGCTTTTGTTACCCTATATTTTAAATGGGAATGAAAATATCCTGCCTGCAAAAGCAGACAGCTTTTCTGGAGAATGTGTCAGGCTCTAAGACCTATGGTTTTAGGCAAAGCTGCACAAAGCAATTTTACTTGCTTTATTTCTATATCCTGCTTAATTACCAAAAATATATGAGGCAGTTTATAATCCAGGTAAGCAATAAAACTTTATGACAACTAGATAAGATCTCCTAGCACAACACTTAGGTCAATATCAGATACCTGCGTTTTCCTTGCACTTGCTATAGTAGCTCTTAGCAAGTTACACCCCTGACGTAGCTATGCAAACACAAAGCGTCACGTAGGAACTGCTGAAAACCCATGCAAGATCCGTGTTAGAATGTCAACCTAGATAAGAAATGGTAGCAAACATCATGCAGAGAATAGATTAAACGATTCCAGATAAAAAATGATATTTTAAAAACATACACACTAAGGGAATGGTGTCAACCAGAGGCACGTCAGTCTCCCAAAATGTAAATCAGAAAAAAGAAACACCTACAACTTCAAAGGATTTGTCTTCATTAAAATCTTCAAAAGAGAATTTCAAAGCAGTTCTTGGTTTCTTTTAAATAAGTGTTACTTTTTCCTCCTTGATATTATTTTTTACCATTTTTTAGATATTTATAACATAGGACAAAACAGAACTTTCTGGAATAGCCATTAGCACCCTCCCTCCCCTTTTAAATTAGCTTCTGGGATCCTGGCACAGAACAGAAAGTAAATGGAATGCCTAACACTGGGGAGCCTTCTGCATGGGATTCTACTTCTCAACTTCCTCAGATTTGCTTTCCTATTTTAGTTCCTGCCTTCCTTCTCTACAGAACAAATGAAAAGGAACTCCAAAACTTAGAAACGATGAAGTCTCCATTTCCCACTTAAGTTGAAATTTGAGAAGTCTGATGAATGTGTCAAACTCTTGTTTTTGTAGTGAACATTCAAGCTCATCCTTTAGTAAGATTATTAGGAAACAGTAAATTTAGCAGACAGGTAGGAGACAAGCATATATCCTTACTCTAGCACTTGCAAGGTTTGGTCTCTAAACAGCTGAGGTTTGATTTTTTATCCCATTGTTTAGCAGCATTTTATGATTTTGTATCTCTCCCTTGCTGTCACCACTGACAGCTATTACAGTCAAATGTTGACAAACCTCCATCTCTGTGCCTCCTAGAATTTGCTACCTCAAACTTGGAAAACAGATCACTTGCTTGCTCTAACTGTGTTTGCAAAGAGTAAACAGGATCTCAGGAAAAACCTGAGGGGTTTTCTAATGAGAACATTTGTGAGCTTTAGGGCCTGGCATCCATGAATATCCATTTGGTTGCTTCTTTTGGTTGGCATTTTAAACCTAATTCTTTCTCTCTGGTTATGTCATGAATAAACAAGGCTACCTCGTCGTGCATAGAGGAAATCCTATTATGTGTTCATAATTCGGTAGTACATGGCTCATCAAGACTGAAAAGTATGAAACTGAGTTAGATTTTGATCCCACTTCTAAATGATTTTTAGAGAAAATAAAACAAGTCAAAATGGATGTTTTACAGAATAAAGACAGGATAATTGGAAAAATCACAGCTTCATTATCTATATTGTAAATTACTCCTATGCATTTCACAGACTTTCAAACTCATACAAATATTTTAAATTACTCTTTAAATCAGCACCAAAACAAATTACTCAGAAGCAAGATGAAGGAATATATGTGACATACTTTTTCTCTTTCCAGCTGTAGTAAAAACAAAAACAATAGGAGGGATCTTTGAATAGTCTGGCTGAACAGATTGCTTGACTTTCTGTCTACTGTATGTTAAGTAAACACTGATGGAAAAACCTTCAATGATCATTTTCCCCAACATATTTGGCTGTAGTCATTAATCACACAGCTCATGGAAACACTAAACGCACCTCTTGATTCCCATTGGAATATAAGAAGAGGAAGCTTTGAAAACACATTTCTGTAAATACAATTGATCTTAACACATTCTTAAGATATTTTATTTGATCTTAATAGCAGATAAACTATTATAATAGAAAGTTCTTCATTGTTTTTCCAATAAACATTATTAGGAAACCCCACAGTGTTCAGTTAATCTGAAAGTAGAACAGGAAATTCATGTGTATCTTCATATTATACTTTGTAAACCTTGCAGGTCTCTCTTTTGTCATCATATACTATAACATAACATAAAAGCAAAAGGGAAGAAAGCGGTGCTTGGAAGGGTATATTTCTGTATTATACTAATGATTTTATTAAAATACCTTGCATTTAACTAACAGTTATTTGCTGAAAACATCCGAACATTTTTTGAGTTTTACATACAAAGCACACACGTAATATGTGTGAAACCACCAAAAAGTAACTGCATAAATTGACATGCATCTTCTGTCATTAGGATCCATCTTTACTGCACCTTTTGACAAACACTTTGACCTGCACTTTCCAAGTGAAGCAAATCACTACTGTAAATCCTCTGAAACATTCAGAGTGTTCACTGAAAGCAGATTGGCTGGATAGATGCATCTGAGACTAGATGAAAATATTTGGCTAAGATAGACTGCCATATGTCTTTGCATCTCAGTTCACTGCAGAACCAAGGATAAAATTCTATAGAAAATAGCTGTATCCTTAGGTATGTCGATAAACTGGACTACCCCAGCTTTGAGGTTTTAACTGGCAGCATTACAGACTAAGGTAGCTACAGAAGATAAAGTTTTCAGAATGCTTGCTCCAGAGATACTAAAGAGTTGAATGGGACCTAGACATCCTATTTTATTAAAGCTCTGAGGAAGATTTTTGTGTCTCCTAGGTTGAAGTTTGCCTCATATTCTATTCCCACCATGGGTGCTGATATGGCTTGACTGTGTCCCCACCCAAATCTCATCTTGAATTCCCATGTGTTGTGGGAGGGTCTGAGTGGGAGATCATTGAATCATGGGGGCAGGTCTTTCCCGTGCTGTTCTAGTGATAGTGAATAAGTCTCACAAGATCTGATGGTTCTGTAAGGGGAGTTTCCCTGCACAACCTCTCTCTGCCTGCTGCCCTCCATGTAAGATGTGACTTGCTCCTCCTCGCCTTCCCGCATGATTGTGAGGCCTCCCCAGCCACATGGAACTGTAAGTCCATTAAACCCCCTTTTCCTGTATAAATTACCCCATTTCAGGTATGTCTTTATTAGCATGGTGAAAATGGACTAATACAG